TATGAACTTAGCCAGTCTTTATTTACCCAGTGTTTATTTAAAAAGCTTGTATAATAATGTTTTAAGTGTTATCTTTAGATAATAGAAACGGTTTATTCTTTGGGGTAGTTTAAAATATTATTTTATATTGATATTGTTGCAAAAAGCAATAAGCTCTTAAGCACTTTGTCTCATTAATGTTACAATTGAATTACAAAGTTATGTGTGAGTACTAAAATTTTGCATGATTGGTTCGAAGCGTTTTTTACAACAATTTCTCTAGTACATAAGAGTATATATAGTAACATAGTAAGTGTGGAAGAGCCATGCTTCGGTATAAATAGATTGGTTTTACTGTAATGATACCATGTCCTCAGAAAGGCGGCGTGATACAACGATTGCGTAGCGTTCAGTACCCGCTCCTCAATATTTAAATCTTCAACAACTATGTCACTCTGGCGCTTGTTAATGGGCGGTTTTGCCGCCCTTGCCCCTATAAAAACTGACTTTTATTTGTAGAGGTAATTTATTTATTTATTTTGTGGACACATCAATGTCTTACCTACCAATTGTTTTCATTATCATAGCATTATAATACAGTCGCATTGTCGAATACATTATGGGGTAATTAGATATCATTTATTTTTGACAATACGTGTTTGGGAAGTTTATGTTCAGTAAAAAACGTGTTGTTCTGTCATATGTGATTGATGATTAAGCATTAATTTTTTTACATAAATATATGTAGATATTGAATTGTAAATTTATAGTGAAAGATAGTTATGAGCTTTTATATTTAGACATCATATACTACTAGGTTGCACACGAGTCTTACTTCCAACATAAATCCAGCTTAAAATTCTTTTATATATATATTTTAAGAGCAAAAATTGATGTTATTTATGTCCATAGTTACTCATTCAACGATCACAATAAAGTTGTAAAGCATTATGTAAAAGATATTTTTATAAAAGAATATTGATCAGAGATCCGACATCGATCACAGTAACAATCAATTGCACGTTATGAAATTCAGATTATAACATTTTTAAATTATTCTTAAAAATATAGTTTACAAGTGTGTAGTAAAGAATTCACAACAACACTGTGCTACGAAGTTAATTCTCCATTTCAACTCAGATTTTAATATGGTGGCTGTAAACCAACTATTTCTGGTCCTGAACATACCACAGCCTATTAAATTGTAAGGCACAGTAAAATTCTTCAATTCTGAGCCCCGAACACGCGTCCCATTTAGCAATACCATGACACAAATAATGGGGCTCATAATTTCAGGAATTGATAACGTCACGTCTGCTTAACGAGCTCAACTAGTCGGTGACCGAACGAACGCATCAAATTGTCGCCGATGCACGCTCCTAACGTTACCCTTTTAAATATTTTGTTACGGTAACTAAAACTTGTGGAGTGTTTGTTGTTATTAAATTCTATTTCTGTTCTATTCATTCAGCTGTAATATTAAAAAAAAGGAAATCTAAATAATTAAAAGACCGTCTCTATCAAGTAAACTACTGCATGAAATGGGGACTGGTAAAAAAAAATTGTCTATCAAAGTTTTTTCAATTAATTAAATAACTTTACTTAATTTTATGTATAAGCAAAAAAAAGTTACAGAAACATACAAACTTATGCACTCTGTAGTAATTGGTGTTGAAACACTAGTTGTTTTTCTGATTCCGCCCAGAATAAGAGAGAAAAATGGATGAAGTAAATAAAGCTAATCTCCGAGAATCATTTAACTTTACTATTCAGTAGTAGTTTTTGCCCTCTGAGGTATCAGACAGACTTTTGCTCTTCCTAGAGGCCCTATGAATTTGTTAATGAAACTGTACAATCCTCAAAGGAATTTAGTTCGTTGTGCGATTGCAATAGGTTCAAAGCAACACAGAATTTCCAATTTCGAAAAAAATACTGATCGAAACACAGGGAAATCTAAAGCCTAGTGCGGACTAAAGGCATTTGAAGTATGTGTGTTCCATTTTCTAGCTGTCGGCACATCAAGCGAGACTGGCTGAACTAAATGTACCATAGTGCAGAGTGTAGTTTTAAAAATCGAACGGAAGGACTACGGAATAGAACTCATGGCGCTGCTTTAGAAAAAAAACGGTATATACATAGATTTGGCACATTTTTGTATGTTAACTTTCCAAATCGACAGAATCTTAAATAAATCAGAAGATGAAAAATAATGTGTCAATATTTCTTGCCGCTAAAATAACCTACTTTTGTAGTATGGTATACCAAGTAACAAGAATATTGTTTAACAACGCCTTAATGTAATATTTTTTTGTGCACATATCTAGATATATGTATGTTCTTTTTATACGAGCTATAACTACCAAATAGTAATAATAACGTTATTGATTAAACATTATCGTGTTTATTCAATGTTCCTTTTCGTGTAGAGTTTCAAACGCCAAGGCGTTAAAGCTTGACACGTGATTTATGCGAGCTTACAGTCATATAAACATTACCAGAATTTGTTTATAGATTGAAATAAATATATCTATTACTATTTAAAAGATTAGGTCGCGACATAGGATGTGAGCTGACATCTCGGTATAGTGATCAAAGGAGACTTACCTACCTACTTATTTTTCCTTACACCTGTGCGTGAATTGAAAAAATCTTCGTAATCTTAGCACTTCTTCTAACACATACAATTTGTAAGATATTTTATGAGGTCATTGTACTGGAGTGTGCGAAAGTGCGAATAAATAGCTGCTTCTTATATTTTGTTGATTTATTTTTCTATGAAGAAGCTGTTTTATTTTTAGGGTTTCATATGTAATTCTGTAGTCATAAAATTATATTTACTGCGTCTAACCTTGACTGTCCATTGCATTTATGACACATTTTTTTAAATATTCTTCTTTCTATAATCTTTAAATATAAAAGTGAAGTGTTAAATTAAACGCTGATATAATAATATTATTATGTAGATTTTTCTTAGTAAAATTAAAAATGTTTCTTAGAAAAATCTTCAAACAATTTCCTCTATAGAAATGAGAGATTATCAACAATCTTTTGAAGATTTTACATTGAGAGTCATTACACCTACTTATAACAATTTCAAACATTTGGGTTACTGGGTGATATAAAAAAAAATTTATTTTTCTTTAACACACAACGTATGGAGAAGTGTTCGAAACAGTTTCCAGTTTGATAGACAGTATGAAAATTGAGTTTCACAAACTTCATAATACTGAACAGTGGCACATGCATATTTTGACAGCCCTATTTTCAGTTTACCCTCGACTTAGTTATTGAATTGGCATTTATGACATTAAAAATAATAACGAAAAAATCGTTGCTAAAAGTTTGATTTAATGACATTTTAAATGTTGCGGCGCTTATCCATGATAAGAACCTCATAAAAATCATATTATGAAACCTATAATATCTGCTGGATACTTCTAAATCCAACTTTATACTATACCCATATTATAAAAGCGCTCCCGTCCCGTGTTTCACTGTTGTCTATCCTAAGCCTTGAAATTTTGAAATTTTTGTTTGTTTATCATAATCTTAAGCAAAAGTGCAGAAATAACCATTCAAGAAAAAAACCTCAAACTTAAAACTGGTACTAAATAAAAACAAATGTTTTAATATTATAAAAACCCATCAGCAACTGTAAACAGATCAATAGACTTGTGACGTAAATGTCTCACACATTCTCCGAAAGTCCTTGCAATCAATCATAGTGAAGTTACACGACACTCAAAGTGTCGGCCAAGATCATTGTCTATTGATACAATGATTGACCTGCAAATCTTTTATTGGGACCTACTTGCGCAAAATTGCTTTGGCCTTGTTGCACACAAGCTTTGCAATACTAGACGTTATTATTGCAAATTATGTACAATAAACACTGCATACATAATCATATACGTTACTCTTACAAGTGTGTGTGTGCGTACATTAATAATGAATGTTTTTATATACCTAACTAATTGTAGTATACAACTATATGTGGGTATGTCTATGTTTGAATAGATATATTAGGTTTTTCATACTCATACTCGTATTACGGATATCACTACTTATTGTATTGTCATGTCTAGAACTTTAAAATTCTACCTTTCTTTAAATAAAATGCATAACTCTAAAATGCTTTGCGCTAATACGTTTTGAAAAAAATTTGGTTCTATTTACAAAAGTTCTCTGTTAAAATATGCATATATTCATACGTAATGAAATATTGTATGTGAAAATAAACCTTTGATCAAGTCTTCACAGTATCTAATTTTATATTCTGATTTTACTTAACAATAAATGCCATCAAACAAACCTTTGCGCCTAGCCTTATTTTTATTAACACTTTTGCCGAGTGCCTTCGTCCGCAATACAGGGATGAAAAGTAGCCTCTATGTGTTATTATAGACTCTATATCGTATATAAATATAGGTATATCTCTGTGCCGATTTTTATCAAAATCTATTTTTATATTATTTTTAGTAAAAGAGTAACAAATATCTATACATCAATACCAATAAACTTTCGCGTTGTTAATGTTAGAAGGATGGATTTTAGGATTAATAAAATAATGAGTCTTAGGTTAGTAAGTATTTTTTTACATTTGGCAATTAATGCCTTATAAAAACTTCTTTAGATTAAATTTAGGTACCTAATGATAAATGTGGAAATAAATGCAATAATTTCCTAACATAAAATTTTAGTAGGTACTTAATAATCAAGCTAATTTTTAAATACGCCACCAGTTATTATGATCTGCCATTCACAATTTGATTTTGAATGTCAATAGTTAGGTAAATACACGCATGTCGTAAGCATGGTAAGTTAATTTATGCTTGTTTTATTTATCTATCTACGTATTTACTTAAGCTACAACCAGCTTCTTTGCTTAGGTTTTGCATATTAACTGCACAAGTCACCTTTATCGCTTTGCTTAACTAATCTACGTAACATTATACACACATCGAAACACATATTTCTAAAAAATATTTTCCGTTTAAGCATAAAATAAAATAATAACTCACCATTTGTGTACAATAGCACGAAAACCGAATATAAAACAAAACGCTCCATCATAAAATAAACCATTTACGAAACAAAACACAAACGATATAGATAAAAAAGTTCAAGGCTGTCACATTCTATTTTCGCGCCTTTTTTATTCAAATGCGTTCGAAAAAAAAGTAGTTGCGCTCCAAATCAGGCAATTGTTTATGGCTCGTGCAGATGCGGGCAAGGCTTGACACGACTGACGTTTGTGCCTCTTTTACTGACACTGTGAGCTCGGAAATGGGACGTAATATTGAAGTATAAACATCACGCTTATTTTTAGAGCATTTGGACTGCTGGAATGTCATTCTGTGTGGTGTGTACTACAACGTACCAGAAGATCTTTAAACGGTTATATTAAATACTTGCGTAACTTTTTCACTAAAGGATTGTCATCTATGTTTTTGTTTCTATATAATTATGTATAAAAAATTATGATACATTGCATTCTATTGTTATCGGTTTAATCGTTTTTCTCCCGTTAATGGGATGATATTTCCATTTTTATTCTTGTGGTGAAATTGCCCATTCAAAAAGCAAGGGGGTCTCGTTGTGTACGAAAATTAACAAGCTGTGTGCTTCCCCACTTAAATAAATGGTTCGTTTTCAGAAAAGAACAGCATTAAGATGGCGTATAATGGTTTCTGGAAAGATAAAGGGTTGCACAAAAGTAGCAACGTTGCTTAATCATGTTTGAAATGCGCCCTAATGGATTAATCGCGCAAAGTAACCAAAACAATAGCACCCCTTCATAAATGCTACTTAAAAATAAAATTATGATAGCTTTTTGAAAAGCTTGTTTTTTGTTTGAAAACAAGTCGTTAACCAAAGGGTTTCATGTATCTCAAAATATTTCTCTATTATGCGCGTCTCTCTTATATTCTCTATTGTCTATGTTGAAAATAATATCAGTTCATACGAAATTGATTTTAATTCTCAATCATAAAAAAATTTATTAGTGCTTTCTTTTTTGGTTACTACGTTCTGGTTTCCTAGTTCTGTTCCAGACCGAGGTTTCGGTACCTTATCGCGCTTGCCCCGAAACCTCGGCTGAACATTGGTATTGTTGGTCTCTTGGTGTCCCATCTTTGGTGGTCTAATGGCTAATTGATGTGCGCGCGGAACGCTACGCGCTGAACGCTTGGGTCTGGTTCTGGTCGTGCGGCAAGCTAATCTCGCTCGCCATCCGCAATCCCGCGCTGTAAACTGTAAGGTGGGCTGCAACATAACCAAAAGTTTCCTTTTTCTTTTTTCTTATTGTTGAATCATTTCACGAATTACTTTCGTGTTGAATGTTTGTTTGGACAATTTACCTAATTGGCCTTCTACAAAAACAATCATCTTAAACCTGAGGCAAACACTGACAATAACATTCCGTGAAGGGGAACACCGATTATTTCGGAACCCATTGTCCAAACCTTTCTGGGATGTTTTCCTTGTTAGAAGGCCATTTTGGTCACCTTTCCCCTAATTGTAGGCAAGCGCCTTAAGCGACAACCAAACAATTTCCATGAGACTCTTATAACAACTGTGTTTACTTGTTTTTGGGTGAAGCTATTCTGTATATTCAAGCAACGAACGGTTAAAAATGGTAGATAGCATTTGTAATAAACTGATACCAGTGAGTAACGTGTTCATTAATTGTCGACGTAGGTACCTATGCAATTATTAATTTAAGGAATTTATTATTGGCTCTACCTATGTATATTGTCATTATTTTAAGTTTGTTCTTTGAAAGAGGCGTAGGTATTACAATTTGAGTAATTTCATTTTTATTTCATGTGGCAAATATATAATATTTTAAGGCTTTGAGATAGATTCATGCCGGCAGCGCCACGCTCAACACAACTTGACAGTTGGATTCCATATTTGAAAAAGGAATCACATGACATTTTTATTTGGTATTTTACTGAGTCATTCCTTCAATTTTGTACTTTGTTATATTAAACTTTGAAAGAATGATGTTGTAGTCGCAATAAAATGACTAGCGTATTAAGAATGTCCACTATTAATTAAACTGTTTCTTGAGCAAGGTCATTCCTTGACTTTCGTACTTTTGAAGTTTTTGTTATATGATGACAATTTTAATAAATAGTTTAATTTTGTAGTAAAATTGATTTATCGATTTATATTTAGTAGCAAATAACTGCATCTACAGTATTCTATTTGCTATAAAGATACAGGTCTACAGTTTTATTGATCAAAGAAGATTAATAATTTTAGTGGTACCATCCATTTTCATCCAATATTCAAATTGATAATCGAATGTACTACAATTAGCGGGTACAACATTTAAAAAACTACAAATAGATCTAGAACAATATAACATTTTGCAACCCATGTGAAAATACTCTAAGCATACCTTAACTCTGATTGTATGATGATAATATCTCTACGGATGTTGCTCTACGTATCTAGATTTTCCATTCCTACGAGAAAATGTAAGTTTCTGTATATATGTATATATGTGTAACAGTTGTAGACTGCAACTTTGCCTCCTTTTGGGTTACATTTTATGGAAGGAATTTACTCGCGAGATTAAAAGAAAATGAAATATTTGCACCGTTTTGGTTTTTCTCAGTTTACATACCTAATACAATAAACATGGTATACTATTTTTAAAAATTCTTATTTTCACCAACTAGTGAAAAAGTAATAGAAAAGGATGACCTCAAGTAGAGACAAATAGCGAGATATCGCGAGGAACATTCTAGTGGCCTCAACCCACCCCAATATGTGACGACCAGAACTTACCGCTCCGTCCAGATTGAAGCGATTAAGAAGTACCAATGGTTTATTCGCATATTTCATGCAATCTAATGACATTATTTTTTCATCAATCAACTTCCTATTGCTATTACTGGTAAATTTAGATATATATTTAAGAGCACTTGAATAAACAAAGCTTGATGCACAACCTCGAACAATTTGTTTCCCGGCACAAACTAAGAAGTAATCCACTTTAGCTCAACTCCTTGATTAAATTTTAAATCGTCTAGCTGAACTAATATCTATAGTTGACATCTGCGCAGAGTTGGAACCTGCAACGAATGTCAGGAGCCATCACGTTTGTCTGATGCCCCTAACTTTATTACGGGAAACTTTGTGTAACAGCTACCGAGGGTACGTATTATTGCTGCGTTATGTCTGAAACGGATCGAGATGTTTTGTTAAGAGATCCTTTAATGAACTTTCGGGGTGTTACTGTTTTCACGGGTAACAATTTTCTTCTTAGTTCAAATATAGTGATTTGCTAATCGGTTTTTCTACCTTGTCTGGACTGGCTCTGGCTGCTCTGCAACGTGTCGCGGGATGATATTTGCGTCGGGTTGAAGTGCTAATGGTTTTTTATTAATTTCCCGACCATTGTTAGCCTGGAGTATCTAAGGAACTTCGGCGGTTTTTCAGCTCTATGATTTTCGTTGACCACATAAAAACGTTTTATTTATCTACTCCCAACTGTCTCTTGTCGTGGCAATCTAAAGTCACATCGGGTTCAGAAAGAACAGAGAGTGTAACTGGGTTTACGCATACACTTGTGCACTATAACATCCCCTGCTTGTGTAATGAACTAGTCTAATTGAATTACGCAGACTGGCCACCATGCTAATAATCGATCGGGAGCAATTTTTTACCTTCACTGAATTTCACTTTTATGAGAAATAATTTTTATTTGATTCCTTTCGAAAATATATCTGTTTTTTTTATTTGTCTCAAATAATTGTTGCTAAGCATACTTTCACTTTTCTTGTGAAAATAATACCTAATAATTACGTAAAAATACCCTCCATGCTATAATCGTATAAAGTTCTTTGATTAAAATAAAAAGGATTTAAGTATTCATGAGGCCAAGAAATGAAAATTCATCACTTCTGTGACAAAGTTCACTATTATCCCTGTGACCTTAATAAGAAAAGTCGACTGTCAAGGAGACTCTACTTTAGGCGTTAGGTATTCTCACTTAAAGTTTTAAATTGAATAACTTGCATAGGATTGTTAGGAGTTCTGTACCTTTACCGAAAATGGCTTGAAACTTTAGTTACCTTTCTAGTTTTGAGATTACGACGGAATAACGAACTGTGGGTACAGTAAAATATTGTCTACAAAGAACAATTCGCCGTCATCATGAACTAACCTAAGTAAAATATGCAAATGAAATTGTTTTCATCCTGTTTGCGTTTCAATCGCGTTTTGAGACGTTACTAACCTACCACAAAATGCTATGGGAGACAGTCAGAAGGCTGGATCTCAAGAACTCTCATCTCGATCCTCAAATAGTCAAATTGTTACACGTTCAGGTCGAATCGCCTACAAGAATGCTAATAGAAATAATGAAGAATAAATTTTGTAAAGTTGTCTATAGTAATAAGTCTGTTTTGCCAAGGAGTAAATTTAAACTTAACAAGGAGGATGTTGCATCATCTCTAATTAGTCATACTAATCATTGTCACACTAGAACTATCAATGTCAGTGTCATCCTTTCACGATAAATTCTTCTGTGACTATAAATAAGGTGGCCGAGGGAGAGTCAGCGATTGACAATGTAACTCTGGTGCAGTGAGCAGCTCGACTGTGTACTGTGATATTAAAGTCAAGTATCCAAGATCCAAGTCTTTTATTCATATTACAGACAATTCTATTTTCGCTTGTCTACTAAAAGCTAATAAAATCCAAAGCATCGATTTGCAGTGCTTACTCGTATCTTCTCATACTGTGGTAGTAATGTAAAGCATATATCAAAAGTCCCATAAAGTCGAGTTTCACCTTTAGTAGCTATAAATAGTTCAGGCTTGCAATTTCCTCTTTCTTAACTCTCTTGGAAGTGCTGGCACAAGAAATTGTGTTATGCAGGTTGTTGGCACCACAATGCCTTGCTCATTCCTGTTTTGACTCTTTCCTTTGTTTCTTGAAGTTCGTTACATTATAGTGAATTTGTTAGTTACACTGTATGCATGGGAATGGATGGCCGGATGTTTCTTTTAGTTGTGGCTTCTCCTTTGTGTGTTTAGTTGTGTAGTGTAGTGAATCTCTTCTCTCATTATCTTTTAAACAATCCTGGATCTTAGTGAAAACTGGGTATGAAGTCGGTCATAAAACAAACGCATAACCCTTCTGATATTTGATAAATTGTATTAGTTGCTCTATAATAATAACAGAGATCAGGCTTATAAACTAACTAACTTTTGCCCGCGACTTTGTTCGCGTGGAATTGTGACTTCCT